CCTCCAGCCCTCCACAAACGACACCTCCAGCAGGGCAAAGGCACCCAAACACTGAGCTGACTCTCTGAGGGTGGCAGGCCCCGATCCCACAGCGCCCCCAGGACCCCCCAGACCTCTTGGCGTTGGTGATGCAGATGATCCTGCCGCGGTTGCCCACGCGCTCGGCGTTCTCCAGGAGGCTGGTGCGGGCCTCGTGCTGGTACTCGGTGATCTTGCACAGGGCCTCCACCGCCGCCACCAGCCCGTGCAGGATGCTGCAGCACTCGGGGTCTGCCCGGGGGTTTGGGGGCCCCACAGCTGCCAGGGCTGCCATCAGCTGGTGGGAAACAGGGAAAGAAATGAGCACCGGAATGTCCTGGGCACCCAGCTGGAATGTCAGCACTTGGACGTGCCAATTAATGTTGTCGGGAGATGAAGGGACAGGATGAGAAATCAGCACTTGATGTTGGTGGCCCTTCTGGGAAACATCGTAAATCACCCTCTGCAATTCAATTTACTCATTGTTACTGAGCCTTGAGAATGTAATATCCTCATTTATTTACATTTATTATACCTGCTTATAATCACAAGTTTTATCCAGTACCTGAAAGACACCCCAGCGTTATTGAAGTTGCCATTTTGCCTTTAATTCCTGAGAATTTCGAATTTCAGTTCCTCCCCTATGTAAGTTTTCCAGAGGATGAGCCCCTTTCAGTACGAAACAATTTGATAACAGAGAGGACAGTTACAATTAATGTTTCCAATGGTTTGATTTGGGTTTTTTTTCGTTGTTTGTCTTTGATTGTTCTTCTTGTTGTTTTGGTTTGATTTGGGATTTGATTTTGTTCTCTATTTGTGTGACTTTTTTGGTTTGTGTTTTTTTTTTTAAGCCTCAAACCAATGTTCTTGTTGGCTGGGGAAAAAAAATAAAAATCAGCTGCATCTCATGGTTTGTGTTTATTTTCTGTGTGTGTATTATGATGAACTTACAGGTTTATTTGCCTATCATGCAAATTTTAAAAAAAAAAGAAGAAATTTAATAAGTAGCATGAAATCACAGAAGAAATACATAGGTAATTTCATATTATTTATTTTAATATGTAAATCTATAGTGAAAGACTCTTAAAATTTTGTAGGGTAATCCAGCCTTGAAATTGTTATGCAACAACTTCAGGCCAGACCCACCAATATTTTAATTAACCAGAGTTATTGTCATAAATGTAATAAAATGTTGCTATTTATTCCACAATTCAGCTACACCTACAAAAGACCAGCTGCAAACCATACCTCCTGCAAGTTCTGATCTTCTTGAGTCCAAGAATTCAAGACATGAGCCCCAGAATCACTCACAATGAAGTTCACCTGAAAGGATCAGAAAATAAAATCACCTGTGAGGTAACAGCCATTACAGTGTTACTTCCCCAAATCCAAACAAACACGAATTACACTCCTTTTTGCTGATATTTTTAAAACACAAAGCCAGTCTCTGCACCAAACCAGAACTGCAGGTTATTAAGGATGTCAATAATCAAGCAATATTTTCAGCAGAAAATAAAATAAAACACTGCAATACTGCACATCATTCTCCAAGGACTCTCACAGTGCCTCACGAGGTAAATGTCCAGTACAACACAGCAGGAAAAACTTTAAAATAATAACTTACATTTCACATTTCAATCTAACCAACAGTTAAGAGATTTAAAACCACTTCAAAATAAAACATATTCCTCAGAGTATCAAGAAGGCTGCAAGAACTCACCAGTTTCTTGAAAGGGAAGATATCATACATTATTCTGCAGTACTCCATGGATGATTCCACGGAGCAGGTCCAGAGGGACTTGGAGATGGGTGCCAGAGGGATAATTCCCTGGGTCCTGTTCTTCACCAGCATGTCGAATTCAACGTGTTGCCTGCATGATTCTGCCATGTAGGGGCAGTGATCCACCACGAAAACAGTTTTATGAGACTCAGAAAATATTTTCATTTTCTTCCTGAAAGAAAGAAGGCATCAAAGTCAGGGAGAAACTGTCCATGATTCCGTTATAACTTTGACAGAACTCTTCAGTGCTTTTAAAAACCACAAAAACCCCCACTTTAAGAACCTATTTACATGGAGACAAACATTTCTCTAGAACTCCAGTCCATATTCAGCAGACAAGGTTTCTAACGACTTTTTCTCAGGAGGAAAAAAAGCAGAAAAAAAGATTATACTGCTGAGAAGGCAACAAGAATTCACAGCATTGCCCTCCCCACTTCCCTAGTTAAAATAAAAAAATAAAAAAAATAAAAAAAATCAAGCAGCAACTGCTTCCTACTGAAAGCTTATTTCCTAAAAAAAGGTTACATGGAAAAAAACACAACTTATGATTAAGCTTTACAGAACTTGAAGTAGCACAATCAGATTTTAAAGTGATTTATTTCAGCCTTTACTTTGCTAAACACATCTTGATTTTTTCTTAAACTCGTATTTGCATCTGTACTTCAGTCTCTGACTGACAAATACACCAAGAGTGAAATCTCAGTGTAAATGTTTCTTATCTAGCAAGGCTTAAAAGATCTCTCCTTGCGTTCTTCCCAGCCATCCTGTTCCAAATCCACAGCCTGGGTTTTCCTCTCCCACAGCTCAACTGAGAGAAATACCTCTGGAAGAGCATCAGACCCTCGTGCTAGGTTTGGACACCTCTGCCCAGGGACCCAAATTACGTATGAAAACTAAGCTTAGACTAGTCAAGAGCACCGAACTCCAACCACGCGCTTCCCATCACATGCACGCAGCTTCCAGAGGTTTCCACAAGGTTTCGGGGAAGCCCAGAACGGCTGGGGTTGGGAGGCCCCTCTGGAGACCACCCAGTCCACCGGGGCAGGGTCACAGGGACGCGTCCAGGTGGGGCTGGAATGTTTCCACAGAGGGAGATTCCCCGGGCAGCTGTTCCAGGGCTCAGGGTAAAGCAGCTCCTGCTGGTGCTGAGGGGGAACCTTCCGTGTTCCCATCGCCCCCCGTCCTGCCGCGGGGCGCCACCGACACGCTTATCGGTTTCCAACACAGCTACCCATTTTTCCACGTAATTCTGCTGAGTTCACAACACACGACCCCCTCAAAAAAACCCCACATTAAAAAAAAAACACCCGAATCTAAAACACCAACGCAACGAGGGCCACACAACTCAAGGCCGGGGCCGCAGCTCGCCCTCGGCGGGGGCTGCCCGAGGGGCAGGTTCGTGCCCGCTGCTCACCTGGGCCGGCTCCTCCTGTGGTGCAGCAGCCCCGCTCCCGCTCCCCGGCGCGCCCGGGCGCGGCCGCGGCCCCGCTCGGCGGAGGAGGAGGCGGAGGAGGGACGAGCCCCGCGGGCCGCCCTAGACGGGGCCGGGCGCGGGCGCCTCCGGCCGGGCGCCCTCCATGCGGCGGAGCCCTGCTCGCCCTGCGCGGGCGGCTCGGCGGGGCCCGCGGGGCCCGGCTCGGCTCGGCGCGCCCGGCGCCCGCGGGGGAGGCAGAGGCGGCCGGAGCCCCCCCCGCTCCGCCCTCCCCGCAGCCCGCGGGGGCCCCGCGCGGCCACCGGCGCCGCCGGCACCGCGGCTCCGCCGGCGGCAGCGCCCGCGCTGGGCTGGGCCGGGCCGGGCCGGGGGTCACTCGCCCGACATGCCGAGGCCGCGCCCGGCCCCGCTCCCCGCGCCGCTCCCGCTCCTCGTGCCGATCCCGATCCTTGTCCCGATCCTTGTCCCGATCCTTGTCCCGATCCCCGCTCCCGGTGCCTCCCGGGCCCTCGCCCCGCCCGCAGCGCGCGCGCCGCACGGTCTCGCGAGAGCTCAGGGCGGGGCCGGCGGAGGAGAGGGGGTGAGATCTCGCGAGATCTGCGCGCCGAGGGGAGGGGAGTCGGGTGGTTTGTTCCGGTCTGTGAGGGAATTCCCTGCCTCTTTTTTTTTTTTTTTTTAGTTTGTGAGGGAATTCTGTGTTTTATTCCAGTCTGGGGGGGATTTCCCTGCTTTGTTCCGGTTTGTGAGGGAATTCCCTGCTTTTTTTTCCTTCAGTTTGTGAGGGAATCCTGTGTTCTATTCCAGTCTGTGAAGGAATTCTCTGCTTTATGAGGGATTTCTGTGCTTTATTCCAGCTGCATCCAACCTGGCCTTGAACCCTTCCAGGGATGGGGCAGCCACAGCTTCTCTGGACAACCTGTGCCAGGGCCTCTTCTCTCCCTATCCTTACATAGAAGGTCCAGCCCCGCTCACAACGCAATCCTCTAACCCCCCTTGTCCCGCCGCAGCCGCTCCATCAACGATTTTAAAACAAATTTCCCAACTTTGGCTCAACCCCCACCCCTCGGGACACCCCAGGGTGCGCACCGAGACCTCTCGCGAGATCTGGGGCGGGGCGTCCTCTCGCGAGAGCGCGCGCGGCCCGCTCCGCAGCGCCCCCTGGCGGGTGCGGGACGCGGCCCCTGAGGCCGCCATTTGTGAGCGGCCGGGGCGGCTGAGGGCTCAGCCCGGCGGCGCCGGAGCCCCGGCATGAGTGAGTATCTGAGGGGCTGCGGGAGCGGGGGGCGCCGCAGGGGCCGCCGCCGGGCGATCGGGAGCGCCGCGGGGTCGCGGCGGGCCGCCCCAGGGCTGGGACGCCGTGAGGGAGGAGGAGCCCCCCTCTCTCCATCAGAGCCGCGGGTGGGGACGGGCGAGGGACCCCTCAGGTGCCCGTCTTGGCAGGCGCCGGTGTCGCGACAGCCGCAGCTGTCGTGCCTGGGTGTCGCGATTGCGGCGGGTTTTGAGTCGGGGGGAGGCGCCACTCCCGGCGGTGACACCCCCGGGATGGTCCCGTCCCACCGGGAATGTGGCCGTGACACCCCCGGGATGGTCCCGTCCCACCGGGAATGTGGAGATGACACCCCCGGGATGGTCATGTCCCACCGGGAACGCTGGTGGACTTCTTCATCTGCCTGAATTCCTTGGAAACTGCATCCTGGCTCAGCGCTGCCAAACTGGTCCCTGTGGGAAAACCCGGGGCTGTGGGAAAAGGTGGTTTCCAGTGAGGATAGGAAGGAGAGAAGAGACAGAAAACGAGATAACCGCACGGAAATCTTTATTATTTAACGTTGCTTTTGCTTTAATTTGCTAATGGAAGCCATTGGTAAATAGCAGGAAATGCCAGGGAATGGATGTGTAGGAGGAGTGTTGCTGGGCTGAGTTGTTGCCCTGCTACCTGTTGACAAGGTTGCTCCTAACTGGGCATCTCTTGTAGGGCAGAGCTCAGGAATAATTAGGTTTAGTTCCTGTAGGCGTGCTCATAAAAACAATATGCCATATGAATTTGTTTAAATCAATTATATTTAACTAACTGGGGTTTTTTTCTCCCCCTGAATGTCCAGGTTAACTCCCAGTTTTAGCTCAACTGCTAACAGTGGGAAAAGGTCAACTGAGGTAAATTTGAGGATTTCTTTAAGCTTGGCTTAAAGATCCTGTGCCATGATTTGTAAAGGTGCCTGAAAAAGTTAAAAAAAAATCAACCCGAAGCATTTTTTTCCTCAATAATCTTTAATCCTTACAGAAATCTTTACTTTCTCAAACAGCCTAGCTGAGAAATGAGTTTAGCTGATTCCTTCTGTACCTTAGAACCTTTCCTAAAGCAAATATTAAGCCTGATGTCAATAAGGCCCATAACTCTCATAAGCCCCTATATCCCTGCTGTCTGATGCTGAAGGAATTGAGGTGGATTTCCTTCTCAGCAGAACAAGTGCAGAGTTTCTGAAAAGAAAATAAAAAAAGGCTGAAAATCGTGGTCTCGAAACTTAACCGACTAAACACGTGAATACCCCAAAAAATTCAGTGTAAAGGCCAGCGTTTTGGAAATGCTGGATGTCCGAGGGCTGTGCAAGCTTGGCAGTTGTGCCTGTAAGGAATTTCTCCTCACAACTGCTGCAGTGGGAAGTGCATTTTAATCACGCAGTCCCTTTCCCTCGCCGCCGCCCAGGAATGAGCTGCACCATCGAGAAGGCGCTGGCGGACGCGAAGGCGCTGGTGGAGCGGCTGCGGGAACACGACAGCGCGGCCGAGGCGCTCATCGAGCAGACCACGGCGCTCAACAAGAGGGTCGAGGCCATGAAGCAGGTTTGTTTGCCCCAGTCTTAGGCACCCTGCCGGCACCTCAGCGTGTAATCACCATCACTGTAGGATCGGGTGATCCTTTCATGCCACCTGAAAATTGGTTGGGTGTAGAGTTGGACCCTGCAAAAAGGTTTTCTCGCTCGTGGTCGTTCCTGTTCTGAGGTTGAGCTGGGCAAGGCGTGGCGCTGGATTGAGTAGATTTCAGTAGAGAGCTCCTGGAGAAGGTAAAGGTGTCTCCTGACTTTCCACGTGGGAGTTCCTCCTGTCACTTTAATAAGGCACAGGATATCTTAACAGGGCCATAAAACAATAAAACCCTGCATGTGATTCAGCCCCGTAAAATTCGTCACGCTGAGGCTTCATGGCTTCAGATAAGAGTATTGAATTTACCCTTCTGTTGGGAGTCAGGATGCACTCACTGGGATCTGTGTGACTTGTTCCCACACAGTCTTGTGGTTTAAGGGACTGGGAAGCCACAGTGGGTATGGAGAGGTTAACACCTCATGCTTTGTCTCTACCACATCTCTCTCAGTTTGGAATTACCTGATGGTGAACTTGACCTGTGTTAACTGAAGGTTAAATAACACCCACTACACACATCTATGGAATGAAACTTGTTTGAAACAACAGAGGTGATGCTTTTATGTCTCTAAAGGACAGCATGTCAACAACACCTTCAGAACTGCGTGTGTTTGATATTATTATTTAAAACCAAACATTGTCTTGCTGGTTACAGACCTTGCCTGACAGGGGAGGTGGTGCTTTGTGACCTGCTGTGTAATGCCAGCTGTGTTCACTCACTAATATTGTGTCTTGTTGGTTTTTTCCATACCCAGTACCAAGAAGAAATCCAGGAGCTCAATGAAGTAGCGAGACATCGCCCTCGGTCCACGCTGGTGATGGGGATCCAGCAGGAAAACAGACAGATTAGGGAATTGCAGCAGGAAAATAAAGGTGAAACATGAAAATTCTGTCCTTTCCAAGTTCCAGTTGCACCACTGGAAATTAGTGAGGCGATAAATAGAACTTAATTCTGCAGTAGAGGGATCTGTTTGGAGATGTGTTTTCCCTGGTAAAAACAACTAACTCAGGAGCAGTCAGAACAAGTTGGGGGGTGAGCACAGCTGTGTAATTCCTTCTGGAATTCTGTGCACTGGGAATGTACTTCTCCTCCTGTCCTGGTCCTTTGTTAAGCTCTAACTGAATTGCAATCCTGTTGGCAGAACTACGCACGTCTCTGGAGGAGCATCAGTCTGCTCTGGAGCTCATCATGAGCAAGTACAGAGAACAGATGTTCCGGCTGCTTATGGCCAGCAAAAAAGATGACCCGAGTATAATAACGAAGCTAAAAGAGCAACATTCCAAGGTAAGAACTTCATGGGGGTTTTTGCCACTGCTTTTTTAAATTAACACTTCATAGTGGATCAGTTCAAAGCTTACTTTGTCTCAGTTTTTGTATTGCTGTACTACCAGCAAGTCCTAATTTTTGTAATCCAGTCCATGCAACATGAACAGGAAACCTGAGCAATTGAGTAACTCAACCTTATCAGCTTCTCACTTACTTTAACTTTAAACAAATAGCATTTCATTACTGTATCTACCTAATTTACTTTTGTTTTACTTTGATCTTTAAGGCCACTGTCCTACTGCACTGCCAGATCTCAGTGATATTCACATTTTTAGACTGGTTTTAGCTTAATGCTCTTGGCTCCAACAAGTGATTAGTGAACCTGTGCTTACTAGGAAGAACAAGCTTTGGAAATCCAATGTTCAAATATTTTTACCCTAAATATCATAATTTTTTTAAAAAGTATTTTAAAAGTCCCTTGGAACATTGAAAAACATTACTGGGTCTGAACTATATCTTTAGGATAAAATGTTACAAAAGGACAGGTGTAGATCCTTTACAGCAGCAGAAGTTACCTCAGCACATGGTGTAACAGCTCTTAAAGGCTCAGAGGTAAAATTATATCCATCCTCAAATGGAGTTGGAAATGTCATTTAGGAGCACTCCAGTGGATTAAAAGCTTGGGGAAAAAGGGAGGAAAAATAAAAATAATATCACACAGTATTATGGAGAGACAGGAGATTTAGGCTTCTATATTTTTGTTAAACCTGATCCCACAAGAATGCCTGATGAAAGGGATTTATCACCCTTAACCTGACACTTAGGATTTCTGGAATTTCATTACTTTCTCTCCTGCTCAACCTTCACATTCAGTAAGACTGAACAATCTTTGAAGCACTTTTTAAACACTTCTCTCTCGTTAAGTAAAAAATCCATTATAGCCAAGGAATTCAGCTGTACCAGAAGGGGCTGTTTCCTCAAGTGCCAGCTCTTACCTTTAGTGCCTGTTTACAGGAGATCACTGATTCCTGTTCATATCTGATCTGACATCAGTGACCTTGGAACAGGCCTGAATCCCTCTGATGCAGAGGCACAGAAGCTGGAAAATAGAAAGGAGGGAGGAGAGCAGAATATGTGAAAAACCCACACCCTTCTCAAGGCCCATCCCTGCCTGACCACAGCTTCCTGCCAAGCTAAATTTGGGGGTTCTGTGAAAAAATGTTTTATGTCATCACCTGCGCTGGAAACTGAGCAGCAAATAAAGATTCACAGCAGGTTCTTTCCCTGGCCCCTCCCATTGGGAGTGGGCACTGGAGGAGGAAACAGCTGAATCAGGGCTTGGGCAGGTGGAATGGCAAAGACTTGGCATCGCAGTACAGTTGGAATAAAAAACAAGTGGAGAAAAAGACAATGCCAGACAAAAGCTTCTGGAAACACCATTCCACCCTCTGGCTTAACTGAGCAGCAGTGAATTCCAGAGGGGCAGGGGCTCTGCAGGGAAAGGCAGCAATGACCTTTCCGTGTTTCCTGAACCTCTGAAACCCAGATCCCACAGAGGCTGGAATTGGAGGTGGACTGAAGCAGAAGGATCTAAAAAGAGTGAAGGGCAGATGGGAGTTTCCTCCCACAGCCACAGAAAGGATGACCACGGCCCTTGGTGTCCTGAAGAGATACCTGTCCATGGGCTGCTCCTGGAGATCAGGTTTCCAACTGGAAAGAATGTTGCAGACCCTGCTGCTCTCAGCTGAGTTGGTTTGCATATCCCACAGGATGCACAGCAATTCCTGCTGCACAGGAGGGCCTTGGCAGGGCAAGCACGGGGCTGACTCCCTTTGGAGGCTGGGGGAGACACAGTTCAGAAAATTCTCATAAAAGGGGTCAGTGTGGGACAAAATAGATAGGACCACAGTAGCCAACTTCAGTGTCACCACTTAGGTCTGTTAAAATGCACTTTAATGCTTCATGTTGTTAAAAGTATTGCTACATTACTGTGTTCCTGACCCTGCCTGTGCCAGGAGCTGCAGGTGCACGTGGACCAGATCAGCGAAATGGCAGCAGTGATGAGGAAGGCCATCGAGATCGATGAGAGGCACGGCTGCAAAGAGCAGGAACGCATCACCCAGCTCGAGGTGAGGGTGGGACACCTCTGGAGCAAGGCAGGGAATGGCAGCACAGCCGGTTCCGTGGAGTTCCTGCTGTGTTACACTGCCCTGGTGGGAGGGGTGCAAGTGCCATTCCCCTGCTCCAGCTTTGCAGAGGGGAGCCCTCACAGAGGGAGCAGGAGGGTCAGAAACCCGATGCTCTCAGCGGTAGAAGAGAAAGGATTTTTGTCCTTCTGCGTTAGTTTGGAGTAGAGGGGAGGTTGCTAATGTAATTCCCGTGATTTGGGGTCCTGTTAAATGCCTTGTTCTTCCTCTGTTTTTAGCAAGAAAACAAAGGCTTGAGAGAAATCCTCCAAATCACTAGAGAATCGTTCCTGAACCTCAAGAAGGAGGATGCATCAGAGAGCACCTCCCTGTCGGGATTAGTGACAAGCAGTGATCTGAGCCTGAGGAAGAGCTAAGGCCTGTGGAGCCAGGAGGCCTCGATTGCACACTTTGCCAAGGGAGCAGCAGGGCTCACTGGTCAAGCACTTGTTCCTGAATAGGGCACCAGCAAGAGGATGTGTCAAACTCCAGCTCAGTGGCTTTTATACTGTGTGAAATAAATTACATTGGTGTGACAGACTCCTTGCCATAGGTCTGACTCCAGCAGGAAATGGATTAACGGGAATTCCTTTTATATGGAATCATTTTGCAGAGAAAAGGTGAGATTTCAAGTAATTTATATAAGTTATTGCTCAGTGCAACTGTTCTATAAGAAAAGGTAAGATTTCAAATCCAATCTCTGGCTAAAAGGCAGTAACCTCTGAATATGCTTTGTGCATGATCCACATTTTTACCTTTGGTTTCTTTTTTAATAAATCCTCATTTTGCAACCAACCTATTTGATGGAAAGGGCACAGAGGCAGAAGAAGCCACATTAGTCCAATCTATTCCTTCAGCAAGTGGGAAGCACCCAAGGAGTGGCAGCAGAAAGGTGGGTGGGAGGAGGAGCAGCTCAGGGCAAGGTTGGCAGCCTGCAATTAATAGTCTGAGTTTCCCTTTCTCCAGTACTAACCAGTCACCAGAAAGGTTTTAAGGTGAGTTAAGCAGAGCTGAACTAATCTGAAACCACCACTTAGGCAGGTTTGATTTTCAGGGACAACACCACAAAAGGAACTCAGATCCAGCACTTTCCAAGGGTGCCAGTTTAAATCCAGCTTCCTGGGCCCCAATCAATGCAGATGCTGAAAGGACAGATAGGTCAGCTCATTTTCACAGCACTTTTTGTAAATGGAGAAACTGCTGCTTCTCCTCCCAGGGCACCTTCTAGGCTTGACAACACACCGAGGACATTCACCTGCAGGGAAACAAAGTTAGAACCATTTCCAAACTTGCTCAACATCCAAGGGGGGTTTTTTGGGGAATGTTTTAGCTCCAGCACAGAGTATTCTCACCTGCTGTTACTTTCTGTAAAACCTTGCCAGTGCTGCTCTGATTTAGGTTTTGCATTTCTGCCGTGGCTTGCCAGAAGTAACATCTTTTTTTATTTTCACTGGAGTGTTCTGTTGTTGCAAACTTTGAGACATTTTGGGTTCAGCTGCTGAAGTTCCTGTTTCTGGAAGCATCTTTTCAGCCATTGACTGGTGTCAGAGACGTTTCCACCCCTTGGATGCTGATGCAGCTCCATGGCTGAATTCTGGCTTGGCTTCCCGCTCCAGAGGAGGGTTCTTGGTCTGTGGCAGTACTTGGAGGTTGCTCTGTTATGAAATAATGCTTGATTAGTGTTTATTTTTGTAAATTGAAGAGAAATGTGACTTAATTTATCTACTCCCAGCCCTCACATTTGAGATGTCTCCCCTCTCACCCCCCTGCCCTGATCACTTCAGGATTCTGAAGAGCCTTCCCAGTGTGTGGAGTGACTATTTTTCATGGCATAACTGTTATTTTTGTAACTCAGATGGCTTGGAAAGGATTTATGGCTAGAATTGTGTACTGTACAGGAAACCTATTTTATCAATAAAGCTGACTGAAAACAGAGCTGTTTCCATGATTAAAGCAAGGCTGGAAGGGGAGGAATGCGGTGGAGAAGTTTCAGCATCAGACAACTTGTTTACCAGCCTCGGTCAGGAAGGAGCATCGAGGTCCAAAAGTGCCACCAGAAACCAAAAGGGAAAGGACATGGAGTCAGGTAAAGATACTTTTCCATTCTAGAAAAAATAATAATTTCCTATAGTTGTTCCTGTTATAATATTAATTAAAACTGTGTTTATACATTTGAATATTCTTTCTGCTCGAGAGAGAACCAGGCAATGTAGAAGGACACAATACCAATGCTATGTAGAGGGACACTCCAGACTTACAGAGTGCATGTTTAAAATTTTAAAGAGATCCTTTTAGACAGACCCCCCCCTCCCATAACATCCATTTTCACAAAAGCTGATTTATATTCATATGGAATAGTACAACTAAGAGCTTGAAAAGCCACCCATCTGAACCCTGGCAGGCCACCCTAAAGGGTCACTATGGAAAAAGGGCAGCAGAAAGCTGAAAGGGCCTCAGGGAACATAAACCAGGAGGGAAGTGGAAATGCAAGGCTGAGGATGAAAAGAGGCGACAGAAGAGAACTGAAGTCAGGATGGAAAAGGGCAAAGACTGTATATATACATATATATATATATATAAAAATATATATATGATCTGAAGACTCTTAAGTCTGCTCCACAGCCACAACATAAACTGCAATGCCTGGTGTGTGGACACAGTAATTGGCTATCTTTCCTTGAAAATGAATGCTTATATTTGACAGAGAATAAGCCCCACATAGAGATGAAAGCTGCCAAGAACACTGGCTTTAGCATCACCAGGTTTTAGAGTTACGAGCTGCAAAAAGACGTATTTTTCAAGATATGTATGAAACAAAGTTCTACAGAATCTTCAGCATGCAAGGTCTCAAATCTCTTACTTTCTCTGGGAGAGGGTAAGGATTTTAGTGCTGACATTTTTTTTTTCCCAGCACCATGCTACATATAATAATTTGTGGGAAAAACTGTCCTCAAGCATATGATGAAAGTGATGACATCCCTCAACAGAAAAGCTGAACATATAAACATATGGAAAACACAATTAGTAAACAATCCACAAGATGAAGATTTTCCTCATTAGGCATTTGCTAAATAACTCAGGAGAACAACACTGTAAAATTCTGTCTGTTGTAAAACAGTTTGCAAATAAAATAAAAAGCTAAACCAGTGCAGCAAATCGTTTGCAACAAACTGTTTGTCTGCAGAATACATTTTGGGAAACCAACTTCCTGCTTTTCCCTTTTGGAAAAAATTCCACACAGTGTCAGAAAGCAGACTGAGGGGTAAACCTTCAGCACCTCTGTAAGAGGGGAAGAGAAAGGATAAAAAAACCCCAAACAGCAAATTTAAGAATAGACTTAATGCATGGACCACTTAAAACTAGAGGGGAAAGCGGGAGGTCCCAGAGCAGTTCATAAACGGAGTTCAGGTTGCAACTTGATCTGAACCCAGGCAGTTACCAACTCCCAAATCCTCAAAAAGCGCTGTGCTCCACACCAGGCGAAAATAAAAATCCAAACCAACCAAACTAGGAAGGGGGGAGGGAAACAGGGAGAACGGAGAAGCAGAAAACGATAAATCCCTCACTAGTCCTAAGGCGTGGAGCAGGAACTTTTGGGGTGAAAACGAGGGCGATCGCTGGTGGACAGGTAGGGAAAATCCCAGCCTGGATAAAATGGATTCTAAAACCCACCTGTGAGAAATCAGCAGCTTTTCTTGCCTGACTCCACTCTCTCCAAAGAGCTTCCACCGAGCAATCACCGCAAGACCCAAATCCCAGCATTCGGAGCGCTTGGAACGTCGCTGGGAAACACCCCGTTCAAGCGGACAGGTCCCTGGGAACGATTCAGCCCCCAAATCGTGCCCCGTAAGCAGGGGACAAAATCTGCGTCCCTCTTTGGGTTGCCAAGCGCTCCCGCAGCAGCAGGAGCTGCCTCTGCCCATCGCAGCCGCCCCGCGCTGTGCCGAGCTCGGCAGGACGGGGCATTCCCCGAGGAACGGGGAGCTCCCCATGAGCCCCGCACGGAACGAGCCCCGCACGGAGCGAGCCCCGAGCGCTCCGCAGCGAGCCCCGACGGCCCCCGCAGCCCCCCAGCCCCTCCCGCCGGACCCCGCACAGCTCCGGGCACTGCCGGTCCCGCCGCGTCCTCCGGGAAGCGACCGGGAAAGGGGGGAAGACGGAAAACGGGAAAGACGGGAACGGGGAATAAGGAAGATGGCGGGGGGCGGGGAAAACCCGGACTGGATTTCTCCCGGAGTACGGAATGGGGGAAAACCCGGACTGGATTTTTCCCGGAGTACGGAATGGGGGAAAACCCGGACTGGATTTTTCGGGAGTACGGAATGGGGGAAAACCCGGACTGGATTTTTCCCGGGGTGCGGAATGGGGGAAAACCCGGACTGGATTTTTCCCGGAGTACGGAATGGGGAAAACCCGGACTGGATTTCTCCTGAGTACGGAATGGGGAAAACCCGACTGGATTTTTCCGGAGTACGGAATGGGGAAAACCCGACTGGATTTTTCCCGAGTACGGAATGGGGAAAACCCGGACTGGATTTTTCCCGGAGTACGGAATGGGGGAAAACCCGGACTGGATTTTTCCCGAGTACGGAATGGGGAAAACCCGGACTGGATTTTTCCGAGTACGGAATGGGGAAAACCCGGACTGGATTTTTCCTGAGTACGGAATGGGGAAAACCTGACTGGATTTTTCCCGGAGTACGGAATGGGGGAAAACCCGGACTGGATTTTTCCCGGGGTGCGGAATGGGGGCACTCCCGGCCTGGTGCCGCTAAGGCCGGTGCCGCCCCGCTCCGCAGTCCCAGAGCACAGACGGCGCTGCCGCGACCGCAATGTGTCGGGAGCCACAGCGAAGATGGCGGCGCGAGGCCCCCCCTCCCTCCTCCGCCTCAGCGAGGCGTCTCTCCCATTGCCTGCCCTCCGCCCCGTTCCCGAGCCGCACCCTGTGCTCGCAGCCCGTCCCTCCGCGGTGATTCCCACCGTGGGGACCGGGCGGGGCGCTCGGGGGACGGGGCGAGGCGCTCGGCGGCGCCGGGCGCGGTTAGCAGGCTGGCGGGCGGCGGCAGGCACTGGAGCGGGCAGCCCCGGCGGTGGCGCGAGGCCCCCGGCGTTGCTCCGCTCCGCCCCCGCCCCGCCCCTGCCTGTCCCGACTCGCTCGGGCCCGCCGGGAGCCGCAGAGGGGCCGGGATCACCCCGGGAGCTGCAGAGGGGCCGGGATCACCCCGGGAGCCGCAGAGGGGCCGGGATCCGCTCCGGGAGCCGCAGAGGGGCCGGGATCCCCCCGGGAGCCGCGGCAGGGACAGCTCCAGGCTGTCCATGAGATCGTGCCCGGGGTGAGCGGGGCCCGGCGGGGCGCCCGTGGGGTGCGGGGAGTCAGAGGGACACGTTTGGGGTCCCCGAGCTGTGGGGTCGGGCTGTGCTGAGAGGGGCGGGGGGGTCCCCGTGGGTGAGCCTGAGCATTGGGTTGGGGGTTGGTTCAGGAGCCCGGGGGGTGTCTGTGGGAGCTGGGATTCGGGCTGCAGAGCTGTGCTTGGGAACAAAGGGTGGAGCAAACCTGCTCCGTGGGTGCGTAAGGAAGGACGGAGTAGCAGGGAAGGGGAGCATTTCACACGATATCAACATTCCCCCCGGGTGTGGGATGGAGCAGCGAGGTGGGGGTGGTTGAGGATGGCCTGGGCTGCTCAGGATCAGCCACAAACAACCCGCCAGACCTCTGAACCCTCCATGGACACGTCGTGGTTTTGCTGGAGGTTGTCCTGTATTTGCAGTGCAGGTAACGTGCCCTTCTCAGTTCAGCCCAGCAGATCCCAAGGGCTCTTCCAGGAATATTTGTTCTTTACTTCTCTTTGGGATACCTTAATCTCCAAACTGCCACGAGCAATTCCATGATTTCTCCTGGAGAAAACCAAGTGCCAGAGGAAGTTTGCCCAGGAGCCCAGAATTGTCTTTGGAGCAGGGAGTGCTGAGAGCTCCCTGTGCCTGTCCCCAGCCTGGCACTGTCAGCAGGGATACACTTTTTTCTTCTTTTATTTTCTTTTAGATGATGGAGTTGCCTCTCTGGATGTGTGCTGAGCTCTGGCTGCAGGGGACTGTCAGGCCTCGGTGAGTTCATGTTCTTCTCACTGGGAAAGTGGAAGTAGTTATGAATTAGATTGCAGAACCATTTTCTGAAACCTGTCCCCTTTGTTAAAATCTGAGGTCATGTGGGGCACAGAGAATGTCCATCATGAGGTAAACTGGGATAATCAGTAGTGGACATGTAGGGAAAATTGTTGAGGGGGAAGTATCTGAGGTGATCTCCACGGCAGAGAATCATTATTGAGAGGTGAAAATGAAATACTGAGTGGTGGACCCATAGGGAAAATTCTGGGGTTAAAATCTGTTGGAATGTGCAGCAGAGAGAAGGAACATTTTGGAATAAAGTGAGGCAGTAAGTAGGGGAGAGGCAGAGAAATTGTGGAGAGTAAAACTTGATCAAATCTGCAGGGCAGACAGTGAATCTTTGGAGGTCAAAAAGAGGTAATGAGGAGTGTGCAGGTGGGGTAAAAACCTGAGGTAATCTCTAGGGGAGAGAATGACTGTTTTGTGTTCAAGAAGAGGTAATCGGTAGTGGGCTGGAAGGGGAGATTTTGGGGGTTAAAAAGGAGGTTCATTCTCTCCATGGGAGGGAATGGACACATGGAGGTAACCTGAGGGAATGAGTGGTGACAGACACAGAGAATTGTGGGTGTTAAACTGCAGGTAATCTCTTGGGAAGAGAAGGCATCTGTTGAGCCCCCTCGATCCCCGGGGCTGCAGGGCCAGCAAAGGCTGTTTGGAGCAGAGAGTGCTGAGAGCTCCCTGTGCCTGTCCCCAGCCTGGCACTGCCCACAGGGACACACTGGGCAAAGAGCGTTACAGGGAACAAAACCCCTTCCTGCCAGAGGGTTTGTCCTGTGCAAATCAGTCCTGGGGCAGCAACTGGACTTGGGCCATCAGTCAGCTGCTCTTCCCCCAGAAAGCACCATCCCCATGAGCATTAATGACCTGCCCTGTGCCCCCCGCTCACTGGGCACCCACCTGAAACCAGAGCAAGTCTTGCTTTGCTTGGAAGAACTTCAAATAACTTTAAACCAAAATAAACCACCTCTTATATTTTCTTTTAGATGATGGAGTTGCCTCTCTGGATGTGTGCTGAGCTCTGGCTGCAGGGGACTGTCAGGCCTTGGTGAGTTCATGTTCTTCTCACTGGGAAAGTGGAAACAGTTATTAATTAGATTGCAGAAATATGAATTCTACCCACAGCCCGCAGTTCCATGTGGAATTCCTGCTGGAATAGCCTCCCAGTGCCTCACAGAGCCCAGATCTTCCCCTGCAGAGCTGCCGCTTCAACGCCAGGTTTGCCAGGAAGCAGCCAAGGGTCCAGGTGTGCTCAGCGGGATCAGGACAAGGACAGGTTGATATTGCACAGAATTTGCTGTTTATAACCCTCCTCCCCCAGCCCCGCTGGTGTCCCTGGGGGGCACTGGAGCGAGTTCCCTGGAATTGAGCTGATTCTCCCCCTGGGTTGGGCTCCAGGGGGTGTGTTCCCCCAGGAGAAGGCGGTGGCCGGATGCGCTCCCGGCACGGGCTGAGGCCTGGGAGACAAATCCATCTTGTGCCCTCTGGAAGTGCTGGCCTGGAGCTGCTCCATCCCTGCTGCCACGAGCTGTGCTGGGAGTGCCTCCGGAGCAGGGCAGTGCAGGGCACAGCTCATCCGTGCCCTGGAAAGAGGAAGCGCAAGGAGGGCCAGGTCGCTGCCTGGTGCTCCGTCCTCCTCCCGCCCCGCGTTCCCTGCCCGGCTGGGAGCGCACAGGGAGCCCCGGGAACATTCCTGGCAGGAAGCAGGAGCTGCTGAGGGCTCCGTCCAGCTCCGAGCCCAAGAAGTGGCCCTGACCTGAGACCCCCTCGGCATTTTGGGTTCCAAACACTCACCTGGAGGAGACACCCCACTGCAGGTGGGGCTGGACAGCCACCCTCGACCAACGCCTGTGCCTCGGAGCGAGGGAACCCTCTGGACTCATCAGGCTCCTTTGTCCCTGGAAAGGGTTGTCACACGAGCACCTCGACAGCCGGTGGGGAAATCCCGGACAGGGCAGGAAAACCTCCTGGAGCGCAGCAATAATGAGTTTGTGCCTGTCCCCAGCCAGGCACAGCCCAGCCAGCCAAGCTCCCTCCACAGAGGGAGCTGCAGAGATTTAATAAAGGTGGATTTCCCGACAGGATTTCCCTGCGGTCCTTCCCTCCTTTGACTCACGCGGCAGCGTCCGATTGGAGCATTTGTCGGTTTCCTCTCCTGTAGCCGTTTACCTCCCAGGTAGGAGGTACCTTCCCCATCTGCAAATAAAGATTAAATGTTTCAACTGGATTTTTAAAAACCAGAGGGTTTGCCACGAGAGGGTGTGAGTTACAGAGAAAGTAGGGGAGGGGAAGGAGAGCCTCAGGTCTCACCTGGCAGCTGTCAGATGAAAGGAATTGCTGTCAGAGAAAAGAATTGCTGTTGGAAATTCCGGAAGTTCCAAAGGCAGAGCTGGGACCAGCCTGTGCCCTGACCCGCGGCACCATCAGTGCCAGCTCCTGGGGCTGCCTGTGGACAGACAGGGACACGGGGACAGCCGGGCAGCTCCGCTCGGGGTCCCGGAGCACGGGAGGAACGAGGAAAGTGCCGCCACCATTCTTCCCTGACCCAGCACAGCCCCGGCTCCCCGCGGCCGGAGCGGGCCCGTGCCCAGAGCCCCAGCGGGCCCCAGATCCCCCGTTCCCGGGGGCACTGCAGGGGGGGAACCCCCCGGGGCTGGGGTTGCAGGGAAGGGTCAGGTGGGCAATGTTCTCTCCGGATGGGAGATATTCTCTCCGGGGGGACATGCGGAGGTCTCGGGGGTATCCGAGCTGGGGGGCTCCGACCCCGCGGGGGGCGCGGGCAGCGCTGCGGGGCGGGGGGTTCCTGGGGCCCGGCCGGTCCCAGCCCCAGCTCAGCTTCTGCACCAGCAAAGCGTCGCCGTTCTCCCGCACCCGGGTCCCGGCAGAGCCCCAGCCCGAGCGGCCCCGCCGGGCTCGGTCCCAGCGACCACCCCGGAGCAGCTCCTCCCGCCCGCGTTGGGGCAGAGGCGCCGATCCCGATCCCCGTCCTGATGCCGAGCCTCATCCTCAGCCTCGCTCCGCCGGTGCCGTCCCCGCTCAGCGGCCCGGGCTCGGCGCAGCGCCGGGAGCTGCCCCCGGGCCGTGGTTCCGACTCCGAGCGCCGGTCGGTCCGTCCGCGCCCCGGGACGAGCGCGGCTCTGCCGGCTCTGAGCGGCGGGGCCGGGACAGGACCCGCACAGGTGCGCGGGGCGGGCGGGGAGGGGGATTTAAGCGCCGGAGCTCACCCACCCATCCCGGTGTTTGCTCGGGCAGTGTGCAGGGAGCAGCAACGCTGTTCGGGCCTCTCGCTGCTGCGGCGGCTTTTTCTTTAGTTTTTACCTTTTCTTTTACTCTTTCCCGTTTCCTTCGTTCCTTCCCTTCCTCCTCCTCCCCAGCGCGGTCGTCCCCTACGTCCCGTCTCTGCCCCGCAGGGGCAGCCCGGCCGTCCCAGCCAAGCACACCCCGACCCTTCCTCCCCTGCTTCCTCCCCCTCCGCCCTGGCTGTCCCCGCACGCCGCCTCCCCCTGGCCCCTCTCGCTGCCTTCTTGCACACCCCGGGCCCCCCGGCTCCTCCGGCCTCCTCCGCTGCACACCCCGATCTCCCTGTCCCCCGTGTCCCCGCAGCCGCGGGGTTGGGGACACCGCTTTAATAAAGCCGCGATGGCCGGACCTGGCGCACCCCTTGGATCCCCCGCTGGGGGGTGGGAACTTTTCCCCCTCCGATCCCACCCTCCTCCTCGGGACAGGGCCCGGAGAGGGTGTTTGGGGTGGAGGATCGGAGGGGGTTTGCCTCTTTTACTTCAGGCTTCGCTCTGTTTTCAGAGACAAGCTTTAAACCAGAAAATACAAGCATCTAAAGCCAGATTTTTCAGGTCACTATGAGGAGAAAGAACATGACTCCAGTCTATGGGTTTTCTCATCCTGCTGCTGTCCCCCAGCATGCCACTCAACCCCCCTCCCTGGGAGAGCCCTAAGGCCATGGTACCTTTTCCCGGTATTAGTGGTGCTGGTATCTCTTTGAACAAAAAGTTAGGGGAATTCTGGATAGGGTGTTGATGACAGGTGGCTCTATTGAATTGTAAATCCTGCTTTTAACTAATGGGTCCTCTAAGAAGATAAGCTAAGTGGTAGCTTCTAGGGGAGAGTGAAGGAAACTAACCAGGAGCCTGTTCAAGAGATAATGGACTTGCAGATCTAAAGGGGAGCTGGAGAAGTTTCACTTTTTCAGAACCACTGTCGTGCAACCATGGACGCACTGCACACCAGGAGATTTGGCGAGGACCATATAATCTCAGGTCTTAAGAGATGGAATTAAGGAGGGAGACTGGAAGAAATCAGGTCAGAGAAACAAGGGCAGAACCGAGCAGAAAAGCTAACACGTTACAAAGAGTTTGGTCCTCCTTGTTCACAGATGTTCTTCAGTCACAGCCAGCATGGTTAAGGCATATCTTCTGTTGGTAAGGACGGACCACAGGCTGGTGGGGTGTGTGTTTTCCCCAGCCACATTTCCTTCCCAGCTTTCTTACAGCAGCTTCAAGTGGGATTGACTTCTGGCTAAAGAGGTGCCACACTCATACCTGTGGCCTTCTCTCTACACATTCACCATTTCAGGTACCACCCTTTGCATTCACATTTAGAGGGCAGTGGAAAAAACCAAGTGGCTGCAGGGACTGGTTAATGAAGGGAGATAAAAAGAAAGAGTAGCAATGGCTAGGAAAATGGCCATACCTGTGTGTGAGACACAAACAGACAGAGATGAGAAAAGCTATTTAGGGGAGTACAAAACATGGTTATAAGCAGGAGTAATTGGCTGAAACTGAACAGATGAAAATATAAGTCCTGACCATGGGACTTTCTGGACTGTGAAGCAGACTCCAAAAGAAAGTGGTGAAAGCCCCGTTACCTGAGGCATTTAAAATGAAAGAGCAGTTATGCGCGTGTTGTAAATCCTGTACCAGCAGAGGAGCAGAGTAGATGACCTAACAGGACTTTTCCACACTGAATTTCTATATTTAACATAAGGAAACACAAACCCCCCAACTTGCCATGAGACAGAGAACAGTAACTCAGCCCTTGGGGGAAGCCAGTGGTAATCGTGCAAGTAAAGAGGCAAAATGTCATGGTGAGAGGACTGGAGGAAATGGCCTTAAACTGAGACAGGGGAGATTCAGATCGGGTAACAGAAAATATTTTTTCACTGTTAGGGCAGTCAGCCCTTGTAAGGGACTGCTCAGGGAGAGGCGGAGTCACGATCCCTGAAGGTGTTTAAAAGGTGTCTTGATCTGGCACTGGGTGATGTGATTTACTGTAACCCCGTAATGCCAGGTGGGACTGGATGATCTCAGAACTCTCTTCCAACCTTGATGATTCTGTGATTCTCAACAGCAACAGCTCCACTCCAGCAGTTCAGCCACACTGAGGAAGACACGCAAATACGAATCCTTCATTACTGAGTTGGTCCTGTATTAAAAAAGGGTCATTGGTTGCTCCCTCTTCCTCATTAAGTTTCAAGGACTGGCCAAAATGAAGGCGTAAAGAGGCTGCAAGGACTTGGTCCTGGTTTGCAAAATGGACCAAGGAGTGCCTACTGGGAGACCTCAGCAGTCCAGCTTCTTGGCCACGCAGGTGAAGCAGCACTGCATTTGATGCCAGCATGCCACGCTTAAGCAGGCAGCACGTAAGGTAAGCTAAGGTTTGCTTTGAAATACGGAGGTTGGATTTCCTCTCGCTCGCTATTTTCAGTAGCACCAAATCACTTAATAGGAGCCTGTCCTATCCCAGTGCACAGCATCCTTACAGCAGAGTCCCGAGGCAGTTCTGCCTTGCGGTGGGTACAGAGCAGTCATCTGCTCCCAGGCACGTTCAGGACTTGCAATAAGCGGGTACATAAAAAAACCCCAAACCAGCCAGGACACTAAAAGCTGCCTGTAAAATCACAAAGAGATTTAGACGAAGATATGGCCGAGGTATTTTTTCACCTTTCCCCCCCCCTACCCTTTTCACTCTCGTCACGAGGGCTGGGGCTGCAGTGTCCGGAAGCCAGAGGGTGATGGAAAACAGCGTCAACACCGACGGGGCTGGAAATCACACACACTCCTGCGTGTCCCACGCGCGGCGGGTGACACACCAGCTCCGCCGGGGTCTGAGCGCAGGCAGCGCCCCCGGGGAGGGGGATCCCGGGCCGGGCCGGGTAAACGGGGTGGCGGCGCCTCCGAGGCCTTCCCGTGCCCCGCCGTGACCCGCGCCGCATTTCCTGGCCGGGGCTCTTAAAGCGGCGGCCCTGGCGGCGAAACAAGGCTCGCAGCGCTGCCGCGGGTCCGCCCGCGGCCACATCCACCCACATCCACCCGCTGCCCGCCCCGGGACCTGCGGGAGAGGCTGAAAGGCCCCACGCGAGCTCTGGCGGGGGCGGCGGCACCGCGTGGGGTCAAACGCTCATACAGAGCGACACGGCCCCCACTGCGCCCTTCGGGCCTCGCCTCCGCTCGGACCGGCCCGCATCGGCACCCCAGAGCGCCGGCCAAAGCGAGCCGCGCTCCCGGCCCGCCCGGCGGCACCGGCCCCGCCGCCGGCGCGCCCCGGCCCGTCCCTGCCCGCTGCGGCCGTTCCCGCCGGCGCGGCCCCTTTAAGGGGCGGTGCGGGTGCCGGGAACCCACGTCAGGCTCGGCCCCGAAACTCCGGATCAATGAGCGGTGGCGCGGGGCGGGGCGTGATGCCCGGCCCGGCCCGGCCCCCGCTGCCGCCTTTCGGTTTCCCTCTTTTCCAGGAAGGAAAACACCGGCGGGGAGCGGGGCCGCGCCCTCCCCCACCTTCTGCGCGCCCCTCCCCGCCCTTCCCGCGCGGCTCCGCGTGAGGCGGAGAGCGCGCGGGGCAGAGGCGCGCGCGGGGGGCGGCGGAGCGAGGAGCGAGGAGCGGAGCCGGCCCTGAGGGGCGGCGGGGCGGCCCCCCCAGCCCCGGCCACAGCCCCAGCCCCGGCCCCGGCCGCGCCGCCGGCGGGAACTCCCCCTTGAGGGGCCGGGCCGGGCCGCCGGGCCGGGAGGGGAGAGCGCAAAGTGGGGGGGAAAAGCCCGAGAACTTCCCGTGTGCGCCTGCCCCGCCGGGCTCCGCGGAGTCCCTCCTGAGAGATGTCCGAGACTCCCGCTCAGTGCTGCATCAAGGTAAGAGCCCCCGTCCCTCTGTCCGGCCCCTGTCAGCGCCGCTCCGCTCCCGCCGGCGCCTCGGGGCGGTGGATTTTTCGCTGCGTTTCTGCCCGGGGTTGTTTTGATGACAATAACTGTTCTCCTCTGCCCTGTTTCCCCCCGCGCGGTTTCGGTGCGGGGCCGGCGGGTCGGTGCCCCCCCCGCGTTGGCGGGTCGCGGAGCGGGGCGCTCCCCACACCGGCTCCCGGCGGCTGTCAGCGCCCGTGGGGACACGGCCCGGGCTCGGCGGCGTGCTTCTTCACGGCGGGGAGCTTTAAAGGGAGCCCCGGAGCCAGAGCCAGCCTCTCCCGGGGCTGCCTACCCGCCTTTTCCGCCGGCAACTTCGGAGAAAGTTTTCTGCCGTCCGGGGAGATGCAGCCGCTGCTGCTCCCACCCAACAGCAGTGGGATGTAGGGCTCTCTTTCTCTTTTTTTTTTTTTAAATTTTAATTTTTTTGTCTTGATACCTATGTAAGTATTATTTATTTTTAGGCGCCGCAATTACTGGCATCACTTGCTGGCCGGCAGGTAGGGGAGCTGGGAGTGCGCAGCCCGGCCCTCTCTCCCAGGGGCTGGAGAATGTATTTCTCCGTGCCTTAGCCTCTTGAAGAAGGGGTTACCCCGTGAAGTTTCTTGTTTAAAGTGGAGGTAGCGTGAAGCTAAGACAATGGGAGCAAAACCGAGTTTCCATTTTTGTCCAGACCCTTCCCATCTAGTAGCCCAGTGGAAATAGTGCTTTCCTCTCTTCCTCACCCCTCAGTTTTGTGTTTCATTTAGGAGACACTCTGCCTTATTGCAAGCCAGGAGTCTGCCTTCTGCTCCTGACTAATTCTGCCTGAGAGATCTTTCCTGGTTGTCTCTCCCACTCTGGAAGGAAGAGATGATTTCCAGACTCTCTCTAAGGGGAAGAGCCTGGAATAAACACTTATTCGGCGTGATGCTCTTTTTGTTCGCTTGTCGGGTGTGCGTTCGGGGGAGTCTTGCGTTCTATATGGTACGAACACAATTTGAAAGCTTCTGGGTGTATTTTCTCTCGCTGAGTTCAATGCAGTCAGGCCTGTATCCCGTGAAGTCTCGTGGCTCAGAGTCTCGTTTGACTTTTCATGGCACAGACGGACAAATTGGATAATGGGGTATTGTATGCGCGTTACAGGACGGTGAAATGCTCATGCAGGCAAAACGTGGGCAATTGACTCATTGAATTCCTGGATATATAAAATGAGATATAACTACGGGTTGTCTTTTTTTTTTTTCTTTTTAGTAAACCCCGTGGAAAGGTAGGATGTGTTCTCTGGACAGAAGAACACAAATGAATGTCATGAAAACGTGGTGTCATGTTAGTTGTATTTCCTTGTTTTCAGTGTGTCATTTTGAAAATACAAGGCTTACTTCTGCTCTCACTGAAGTCAGGAGAAATTCTACGGTTGATTTCAGGAACTGTAAAACTGGTTCTTCCCTAGCTGTAGTAAGGTACATTATAGAATTCTGCTGTAAGGAATCAGCTACCTGGCAGGAGAGATAGAAGCAAACTTCTGCTTCAGTCTTGTAATGAATAAACGCCACATTTTCTTATTACATTTAGACAGATATTGGAAAACTGATTTTTTTAAAGTGACCAATGCTAAACATCATGATCTGAACTTACTGTAATTTTTTTAATGTCTAGTTTGTTTATGTGCAGTTGACATGCAGACCCTTCCAATTATCTTGTCAGAGGACAGAAACCTACTGTTCCTGGCTTCTCTGGTGGTTATTTTGATAATTTCAAATATAGAAAGTACAACTTTTCAGACAGAAATGTGAACTTCAAATGAAAGCATTTCTTCATTAGTCAAACCATTCTGGGTAACTTTCACTTCAGCTTTTCAAACTACCGTTGTGTTTTGGACTCTTCTTCCAACCAAGCGGTGTTCAAGGTGATTGTAATCAGCAGCTGGATTTAAGAGGAGTGTTTTAACTGGTAGTGTGATTATATGTGCACAGCTGATAGCTTTTTCGGTGTTCAGTCTGGCTGGTGGCATGGAGCTTAAGGAGCAAGGTCCCCACTGCACCTCAACTTCTGCTGTGTTGTTCTGAAAAGTAGGCAAGTGCTGTGCTACGAGGGTGTCAGGAGGTTTCATTAGGAGCCTGTGAACTGGAAGCAGTGGTGCTGGTAAATGCATTGTTTTGTTGTTCTTTTGCTTGGATTTTTTTTCTCCTCTTCCTCCTCTGGCATGGGACAGGGGTGCATGCAGTAGATGCCACAGCACCTGGGATGACGAACCATGGAAAGCTGCAGGAAAGAGTTGAGGCCAGTGCTTTGCTTATACCCCAGGTTCTTACCAACTCCTTTCTCTGAGAAACGAGTCTGAAAACTTTGGCTGTGGGATGGGTTGAGAGGGGGCATTTGGTGTGGTTGTCATATTCAGACACTTTTTTTTCCCCCAGTTGTTGGAATATCTGTGTTTGTAGCAAACTTGTTCCTCTGATCCCCAGCCATAGTAGTTAGCTGATTATATTATTGTAAACACTACCACAGTGTTGGCACTCATTACAGTATTGGCAAGTGATCCTTTTGGCCTCACCTCTCCTCCCACAGATGGGAGAACTGAGCCACCAGGAGAGTGTAAACATTTTGCAAAGGTGGAGTTGTGGCGAAACTAAACCTGGGACGATGGGGGGAGATTGGCTGCTTCAGGTCTCCCAGAGCAGGGCTTCTCTGAGCCCAGGCTCCCTTGTGTGCCACCTGGCTGATGCTTGAGCTGAGAGTGCTTTCTGTGGGCAGCAGTGAAGGCACAGAGCCTGACTGCGCTTCAGATTTCACAGCTGGTGTCAGGGGAGACTTTTTCTAGATGCACACTGGTGGATACAGGCACTTTGTTTTGTGTTAACCTGTATGTGGTGGCTGCAGGAGTGTCAGCACAGAAACCTGTAGCTCGAGGACTTGTCTCATGGGTGCTCATTTTGGATTGGAGGATGTACTTTGTAATCGTTTTAAAAAAAGGGAGAGGAGAAAAATAAAAAAAGCCGAAGGGCAAAGAGTCAGCAAAGTGTCTGAGCTTTCAGTCTTAGCTGGCTTCCCCTGATTGACTTAATTTTTAGCTGATGGGTCATGTCTCCTAATACTTCACTGATGCTGTTTTTGCAAAGAGCCCTCTCCCACTGAAGACTTCTCATGCTGAAGGACTGTTAAGCATCACCCAGCCAGAATCCTGTTACCCTTAGCCAAGGCTGAGTGTCTGTTAATGCCGAATATATGCCTTAATGTTTACTATTAACTTCTTTACTGGGAGGAGGATCCTTCTGGTGCTGCCAATGGCAGAACTCATTAAGCTCAGTGGGTGTAGGTAGAAGACCGGTGTTTAGAAGTACATACTATTTAACACCTGATCAATCACTTAACTCCTTGGCACCACCTAAATTGAATCCCTCTGAAGGAAAATTTGACTAGCACTGCCCCAATTAAACACCAGGCATTAGTATTCACTGTGTCACTGCAGGTGAGGGCAGTTTTCCTGAGAGGCAACCCATTAAACCAGAACCTTGAATCTGAAATGCCCCAGAGAAACAGAGTATACTTTAATGAAAAGTTATATGCATCCCGAAGTGTCTTTTGGAGGGAGGTGGCTGAGTGGTGCTCTGCTGATAAAAATTATGATAAGCAGGAGATGAAATCTTGTCTAGCTACACAGAAGTGACGTTTCTGCCTTTGAGAAAAGTTATCTGGGTTCTTGAGTATGTGTCTTGTGAAGTCTTCTGACTAAAGCTTTCATAATAAAGTGCTTACTGTGGCAAAGGGCTCTCCCTAAGGCAACCTGTGTTTTTAGCCAGTCGTGTAGTTCTGACCTACAACCCAAAAATTGGATAATTTGTTTTTGGGTTTTTTTTCCTGTGCTTGTTGTGGAATATTTGTAGTTCACTGCCTTGAGCAGGGCATCCCTGGAGAACCAGCAACTCAAAATCCAGGGCTTCTCTGAAAACGATCACTTTGGCTGTATCTGTGAAACAAACACAAAATAATAATGAACTTACCTAGGCAGGGCAGTAGCAAGGCTTAGTACTTGGAATGCAGCGTGGAAACAAACTGTGGCTGCACACTCAGTTGTTCCAGGTGTTATTCTTTCCTGGTGGTAGGAGGGCATCACTTCCTATTGGATCAAATGCAACTTCAGCATCCGACAAGGGAGGACCCCCTGGTAAAGACAGTGGATGGTGATCAGCTGCTAGCACTGTCACAAGAACAAATGTTTAGGTCACAAGGTGTCCCTGTGCCTCCTGAGGGAAGGATGCCACCCAGAACAGCCCACGGGTGGGATGTTCCTCTAGGCATTCATGGAAAAGCCAAGCCAAGTTCCAGGTTATGTGCTCAGGTACAGCCTGAGCAAGGAGACCGGACAGGCCACCAAAACTTCTGTGCCTTTAATAGTGGAGTTGTGGCAACTGATTCCTGCAAGTGGGGGGTATTTTTCAGATCTACAACCCAAGCCAAATTTAGACCATATTGGTTCTAATGTTGGGGAGTTGTCTTCTGGCAAGTCTCAAGACTAGAGTTAAGCTTTTTACTGATGATGCTATTGCTCATCTTCTGTAATGCTACTGAGCTCCAAAGTGAACTGGGTATAGCAATTAAGGAAAGCTGTAAATAATTCTTCACCTGAATGATTTTCCAAAGGTTATTCCTTGTTAAGCCACATGCAGTGTCTTTGCTTCCATGCTGTTCTTCTGTAGTTTGCAAACACTTCCCTAGTTAAGGCAGTCTGGAGAAAAAAATTGGTATGAGAGAGGTTCTGACTGCAGTGTGTGTGTGTCGGTGTTCCGTGGAATGTTTGCACATGGAACAGGAGTAGCACTGGGTGGAACTGCAAGGGCCAGATATTGGTACAGCTCCACATGTTCAATCTGACAGCTGGACCTGGCTTGTTGAACTATTGACAAGTGGCTAGTATTAAATCCTGAGTTTAGATGTTTAATTTTAAAATAAATGTGATTGTACAGTGCGAA